TTTGCCAGCATCCGAGCGGAGTTTGACACCACCATCCAACCGTTCTCGTCGCTCGCCGTCTCCTCTGCGTCGTTCTTCGCCGCCGCCGGGAAACTAGCATCCGCGGCCAATGGAGGTGAGGTCGCCGGACGGTCTTTTCAAGATATACCTCTGCCTATTGTTATGATCAAAAACAAAGTGAATGTGTTGATTGATGGAATACCGACGATGGCATTAGTTGACACTGGGGCGACTGTGTCTGTGATGAGCCTCGCCTTCAGAAACCGCTTAGGTCGCAAAGTTATGTTTTCATGGGACGATACAATCACCTTTCGTGGTGTAGGCGGCGAGTGGCTTAATCCTCTTGGTGTATGTGCTGTCAGTGTTTCATTGGCTGGAAAAGTATTTGTATCGGAATTTCTGGTTCTATCTCGTTGTTCGCACGATGTCATTCTTGGTATCGATTTCCTGGAGCAATGCGGTGCTTCCGTTGACTGTGGTAGTGGGAAAATATCACTAAATAGTTTGTTTCTACCGTCGCTTTCCGAAGAAGACTACCGTGGCGAAGACAGGAACACACTTAGTGTGATTGATGAAGTGATAGCACCATCTTGGTGCCTGACACCCGTTCGAGTCTCTTCCACAGCGGTTGATGATGCTTGTGTTGACCTCATAGTGGGGCCTCTGCGCAAGAACTGTTTTAAGAAGGACATACTTGTGCCTTGTTCTGTTGTGTGCATGACGAAAGGAGTAGCAACATTGTGGGCGCTGAACCGTTCTGCCACGCCGGTTGTGCTTCCTCGCGGGATGAAGATAGCTCTCTTTGATGAAGCCTCATGCAACTCAATAGCAGCGATAGCTACGGACCTCCCCCCCTCTTCCTCTGCTTGTGATATTCGCCATAATGAAGATCTAATGCTCGCTATGATCAGCAAGACTCTCAGTACGACGGAACGGCAAGCGCTGGTGCAGGTCCTTTCCCGGCATGTTGCTGCTTTCGACTTCAAACATAGAGATGCACCCCTTCAGTTACCCTCGTCCCGCGCTGGTCACAAAATAGACACTGGCTCTGCACACCCCATCCGCCAAAAGTCCTACCGAGTGTCATCCTCTGAGCGCAAAGTTATCGCCAAACAAGTAAAGGACATGCTGAACAAAGGGGTCGTGCAAGAGTCGTCCAGCCCGTGGTCAGCCCCGGTAATTCTTGTCAGGAAAAAGGATGGTTCCTGAAGATTCTGCGTAGATTACAGGCGTCTAAACACTGTGACGAAGAAAGATGTATATCCCTTACCACGGATTGATGACGTCATAGATTGCTTGCATGCCGCTTCCTATTTTTCAACGCTTGATTTGCGGTCAGGTTATTCGCAAATACCTATATGGAACCCGGCGACAAAGAAAAGACTGCTTTCATAACTCCGGATGGCTTATTTGAATTTAATGTCATGCCTTTTGGCCTTTGTAATGCTCCAGCCACCTTTGAAAGATTTATGGACACAGTGTTACGTGGTCTAAAATGGGAGATATGCATGTGCTACCTTGACGATGTTGTTATCTTTGGCCGTACGTTTGAGGAACATAACAACCGTCTCAGTCTTGTTCTCGACTGCATCGAAAAAGCCGGGCTCGTTCTGAATTCTAAAAAATGTCGCTTTGGCGAACGTCAAACTCTCGTGCTGGGACACTTGGTCGACAAGGATGGCGTCAGACCCGATCCTCGCAAGATAGAAGCAGTGAGCTCTTTTAAATCACCGCAGTCCGCACGAGAACTTCGCTCAATTGTCGGCCTATGCTCATATTTTCGTCGTTTTGTTCCACGATTTGCGGAGATCGTGTATCCGCTGACAAACGTCTTGCGACAGGTTGCAATCTTCAACTGGACACCAGTGTGTGACGCCGCATTCTCACAACTTAAGTTTGTACTAACGTCAGCACCACTGTTGCGTCACTTCGATCCATCTTGCCCGACTGAGGTCCACACGGACGCTAGTGGTATCGGTGTAGGCGCGGTGCTTGTACAACGTCACAATGGCGCAGAGCATGTCGTGGCATATGCCAGCCGTTGCCTGAGCAAATCAGAACGCAATTACACAGTTATGGAACAGGAATGTCTGGCAGCTGTTTTCGCTGTACAGAAGTTTCGTTGTTATCTTTACGGGAGGCCATTTAAGATAATTACCGATCACCATTCGTTATGCTGGCTGGTTGGTTTGCGTGACCCCTCTGGCCGCCTCGCACGTTGGGCGCTGCGACTTCAAAAATACAACTTTACGGTGTCGTACAAGACCGGCCGTCGTCACGCTGACGCAGACTGCCTCTCCCGGATTTTTCTTGCGACTACTGACTGTGATGCTGAGAATTTTGACGACTGCCTTGCTGCTGTTACAAGCACGTTCCCCAACGCGACTGATTTCCAGAGAGAACAACGCAACGATCTCAACTTGGATCCTCTTTTTTCCGCCGCACGTGCCTCCCAACACAGCGGTCGCTTTACTGTCCGAGACAAGTTGCTCTATAAAACTAACTACTCCAGACCTGGAGCACGTTTTCTTCTAGTTGTCCCCGAGAGCCTTCGCTCCGAAGTTCTACGTGCCATGCATGACGATGCGACGTCCGGTCACTTCGGCTTCATACGAACGCTGAACCGCACGCAGGAACGCTTTTACTGGCCCAAGATGTACGAAACGACGATGCGTTACGTCGCTAGCTGCGAGACGTGCCAACGTCACAAGCGCCCGGCCACCTCTACACCAGGTCCCCTTCAGCCGTTAACACCACCCAGCACACCTTTTGAACAAGTAGGAATTGACATTATGGGTCCATTTCCGTTATCTAACAATAAGAAGCGCTGGATAATCGTCTGCGTAGATCATCTTACGCGGTATGCCGAAACCGCAGCTATTTCTTCTTCTACCGCTGCATCCGTGGCGGACTTCTTGCTTCACTCCGTGGTCCTTCGCCATGGCCCACCGCGTGTTATTATCAGCGACCGTGGCCGCCAGTTTACTGCCGATGCCGTTGAAGAATTACTACGCATGTGCACGACACAGTTCCGTCATTCCACACCGTATCACCCACAGACGAATGGCCTCGTTGAACGGACAAACAGAACGCTGACCAACATGCTTGCCATGTACGTTTCTTCCAATCATAAGAACTGGGATGAAGTGCCGCCTTTTATCACGTACGCGTACAACACGGCAAAACATGAAACAACGAACTTCAGCCCATTTTATCTGTTGTACGCAAGGTTGCCACTAAGCCCTCTAGACACTTTCTTACCCTTCATTCTACACAATGACGACTCTGTATCAAACACCCTGTGCCTCGCGGAAGAAGCCCGTCGAATCGCTCGTCTTCGTACTCTGGCCTCTCAACGTCGTTCGAAGGAACGATACGACGACCGCCACAAACTAGTTTTATTCGAAAAAGGTGACTTGGTGTTACTTTGGACACCGCAACGCAAGCGTGGATTGTGTCAAAAGCTTCTGTCACGATATTCAGGCCCATTTGTAGTTTTGGAGCGTCTAAGCCAGCTCACTTACGTAATAGCTCGTCTTTTGTCCAATGGTCGACGATCGAGCAGAACGCAGCTCACTCACGTGGCTCGCCTGAAACCTTTCCACCCTCCTTGTGCATCATAACTCGCCCTATGGGCTTCGTCTGCTTGCGGGGGAATGTAACAGACTAGAAAAGGGTAGAGAAGAGAAGCAGAGGAAGACGAAGAGTCTTGGCACGATCGCAGTGTGCTGCCGCAAACGACCATTGTTCACCTCCTGTAAATAAAACCATCTTATCACAGCTCGCTGTTACAATATTGTCAATTCAAGCCCAATCAACCACGTTCACTACATTTTGTATGGTTTCTAAATCTCCTAACCTTACTTCGTAAGTCAAATGTGTTGCTATCGCATACATTGCTTCAGCTTTGTGACAAAACTGTAAATATTTTGCGTTAGATATTTTATGAACATTCGCAGCTGATTTTTGCCGTCTCCATCATGTCCCGGATATATATGTATGCGTCCCACAAAAAATACAATTTAGAAGAAAATATTTTAGGCCACGCACCAGGAGTTGGATCTAGCGAATCCTCGCTCCTCCGGACGCTGCGTTAACTAACTAGGCCGTGGCGTCCATGCTATCCATTTCAGTAAACGCAAGCTTTATATATACACCATTTACGACAGGCTTACTGTCAATGGGACTTAAAAGAGACATTTTTGAACAAAGCTTGTATGTCTCACGTGTAGTTATGCACCACGGAAAATGAGACACCCAGTTCCACTGAACTCGCTAATCTCCTGTGGTGGCGGGGGACAAGTATACTAGGGAAGCAAGCAAGCAAGCTTTTCCTATTATCCAGCTGCTTCCAGCGTCCACCCTCACACTGCAATGTCTGAGACAATCTGAGGTGGACGTTTGTGGGAAGTGCATAGAAACTGTACTTTTTCTACCATCGTTAGTATTGTCGACGTCGATTGACACCAAGAAAGGGAAGGCCGAACAAACGCTGGCGAAAAAGTAGTATGTAGTGCGACCTTTGAGATGCCACCCCGCGTCGTACGAACACCTTCAGAACAGCTCCAATAGAATGACAGTCGCGCTGAAACAAGGTGGGCTCGTATACAAGCCCAGGCACAAAGCGAACGTGTAGCTGCACGTGCGAGAAGCGATGCTGCTCAACGCACATTCAGCCTTGTTCACTAAATTTTGTATGGTACCTAATTATCTTATCCTTACTTCGTTTAACAGTGTGATTGGTTGCTATCGCATTCATTGCTTCGGTCTTGTGCCGAGACTGTGACTTTCTCACTGTAGCTTTTGCCCCTGTGCAGAGCATCATGCTAGAAAATTCAGCTCGGACCGGCCTCATTGCTTTCTAACAAATTCTCTCTCTTCTGCTGGGCTGTGTAACAAATGGTGACGTGGGTCGTCCAGCTTAACGGAATACGATGGCTTCTCGGTTTCATTTGTTTCGTATACTTATAAATATATACACACGTGTTTATTGACTGCAGTTTTCTGAACGACTACTACGAGACAACGGCGTCGAAAGACCGGCAGCTGACGCACTCTACGGCCGAGCAGGAGCACGAGAGTCGCACGGCGAGCCCCATCGACGCGTACAACACCATAAAGCGTCTTTCCGTCGACTGGAGCGAAATAGTGCACCAATTCCGGGAACCCGACTGGATTGGTGAGTATATCCCCTATTCGCAAGCGTAACTGTTACGAGAAGGTCGCCCATGTGCTGATACAAAACAAAACCTCAAAACGTCGTCGTAAAGACTAAATTGTTAATGAATTAACGTGATTGCAACAAATTTGAATGTTATACGAAGTAAGGGTAGAAGCAAACTTCAAATCCAATCTGGCGTAATGGCACAAAATGCTAGTACAAGAAAATGAGTTGCATCTATTTCTCCACGCCTTGCTTTCTTTTATGATGGACAGATAGATAGATAGATAGATAGATAGATAGATAGATAGATAGATAGATAGATAGATAGATAGATAGATAGATAGATAGATAGATAGATAGATAGATAGATAGATAGATAGATAGATAGATAGATAGATAGATAGATAGATAGATAGATAGATTCTAAAAGAAACAAGAGCTTGGTGTAGGATACATGCCCCTGCTGTCTTCATAATTGTGGAGTTGTACTCAGCTTACTTGCGAACTCATACCGGATGGTCCCTCGAGGGCAAAGACTCCATATTACAAGCCGCTTTCAGACAGAAGGCCTCGGGAGACGATTAGTGCGTCAGCCGCCCAACCCTACGCGCACACTGTCAACCACTCATAGGGGTGACTGACCTTGCAACGCGCACAGCTTCAGCGTGTTACACACTGTACAGCTCCTCAGCCGCTTGAGCCACTCGGCCTCGTGGCCAGAGGACCAACGCACTTAGCGAGCAAGTGAGACCCGGGTCATTGCCTGAAGTTTAACAACCTGGACGCATACAAACTCCACCGGAGTGCGCGTGTAGACTTTATCCCGATGTAGCTTCGACCTCCTACAGGGAGCTTCATCTTCCGTCTCATTGCACACAAACACTCCTCCCATCGCCCTGTCGTCAGTGATACTCAACGCTCGTCGGAGGAAGAAATCGTGACAGTGGCTCTGGTGGTCTACAGTAGTGTTTGCGGGAGTTATATCTAGCCCAGTATCGATTCGTGCTTGCGAAAACGCAGGGCACCCACCAGGGTCCACCACGATGGCGTAGCGGTTACGCAGCTTGGCTGCTAACCTGAACGTCTCCGTTTCGATCTTGGCCGCGACGATCACATTTTGATGGAGGCGAAACGCGGGAGGGCCGTGCAATGTCTTTTTATTATAACGTTAAAGAACGCCAGATGGTCAAAAATATCCGGAGCCCTGTACTACGGTATCCCTCATAGCCACATGATCATATCGGAGTGCTATGACATAAAACTCCAGAGATTGTTATTATTATTCTTGCTAAAGTAGGATCAAATACTTTTTCAAACAATTTTTATACTAATAAAAAATTAATCACGAAGTTGATTTCACCATTCTTTGGCACCGGTAACTTCTTTGACAACGAAGCCGTATACAACTTAAACGTCCACGGCATTTCCTCTTCCAAGGAGTATTCAGACAAGTCTGAGCCAATGGGCACGCACTCCTGAGTGAGAGAGAGAGACTCTTTATCAGGAAAGCAGATGTTTTTGCCGGAGTCTAAATATCGCTGGCATGCTACTCTGTATAGAAACGAACAAGGGGACTGAAAGATTTCAGTAGAGAGAAAACAAAAATACAAAAAAAATGCAGATCCCACGTACAGTGGGAATCGATGTTATGCGAAGCACGAATGAGAAAGGTTGATTTGTCACTTTAAAAATCAGCCCAACGTTACGAGGTGGAGGTAATTGATGCCGTACATGACTTCCGTGTCATGATTATCACGTTTGCATGTGTCGTTTACCTTCGTCATCTATTCACGTCACGTGATACCAAAAATTTAGTATATATAGAGCTAGCAAAACAGCCGCAAACGCATCATGAAGGGCCCATACTCCATTGTAGCGCTGACGCGCGCGCACGCTGGGCACAGCGACGCTGCGTTAGCAAAACGACGCCAGGCACGACCGGCGCGACCCGACGGCAACCGGCGTGAAATGCGACATGCTGCATTTCGCGCCGATGCGTCACCCAGACTACACGGCGTCTCCCTTTTTTCGTGGCGGAGGGACGCTGGACGTTCTCAAGCAAGCATGCGTCAAAGCAACACGGCGCGGAGCGCGCCTGCGAGTATATGGCAGGACCGGCGCCTGGCGTGGCAACGCCGGCGTGACGCGACGAAATGAATGCCGGTGAGCACGCGCACCGCGACACGTTAGTATGTATGGGCCCCTTGACTGTAACATGTAGTCATGTTCTCACATGACACATGTGAGAACTTGTGTTATCATGTTCGCACCAGTCACATACCTTCGTCATCTATTGATGCACGTAATACCGAATTTGGCATATGTAAAGCTAGCGAAACGGCCGCAAGCGCATCATGAGTGTGGCATGTAGTGATGATGTTACATGACTCGCATGTCGTGTTTATCATGTTTGTATGTGTCATTTGCCTATGTCACCGTTCGCGTCGCGTAATACCGAGTTTGGTACATGCGAAGCTATTGAAACGGCCGCGAGCGCATCATGAGCGTAACGTGTGGTCAGGTTGTTACATGACACGCATCTCATTATTATCATGTTTGCACCAGTCAGATACCTTCGTCATCCATTCACGTACCGCAACACCAAATTTGGTAAATGTGACGCTAGCGAAACGCCCACGAGCGCATCATGAACTTGGCATGTAGTCATATTGTTACATGAACGCATATCGTGATTTTCATGTATGGGTCTGTCGCTTGTGTTCGCCATGCAATCATGTCATACCATACCAGTTTTGCAACATTCCATGTGAACGAAACACCACAAGAGCCGCAGGGCCATGAAATGTAAATCATGACATTCATGGCATACATGTCACGATTTTCATGTTATGACTAATCAAATATGTTCTTCATACAATCATGTTGTGAGTTTGGTATCAATACCATTATCAAAACGGTCAGGAGAGCTGAAAGTCGGAGGCGGCTAGATAGATAGATAGATACGCGCAAAATCGACGAAGTTCGCTAAGAAATGCTTCGCATTTAAAAGGTGTGACCAAGTGAACCCGATGAAACTATTTACAATTAGAGTATCCGGTAAATCAAGTCTTTCCTACTCGAGGTATTGTATCATTAGAGGCTTCCAACAAGGCCAATTTCAGATAGGTAAATGATTATTTATAGTACAACACAACGATGTTTTGAAGGTCTACGCACAGGGCCTATTATGCTGCTCAACGTTAATTGTTCCTGGCAGATTATGTCCATTTCTCGTTCAAACGCAGGGCACTCTGTGCTGCACTGACTGTATGCTGCCACAGTTATCACAACATGGGCTTGTGGTACGCCCTCTTCGGTACATATAAATGTACATGTGTGCCAGGCTCAGTCGAAAACGATTATATAACACCACTAGGTACCGAGGGAATGAGTGGGAGATTTCCATGCTCACTTTTGGGTGAATACAATGAAGAAAGGTATCATTGCGGAGTGGCGAATTCCAAAAGTTGCCTTTTTCTTTCGTTAACCCCGAATCACCCCCCAAAGAGGGGAGGGAGGGGGATAATTGGGAGTTAATGTTGTCATTGCGAAGAAAGTCTTCGTCAGCTTTAATATAGGGGCCGTTTCTGAAAGAGATCTGGGATGACGATTCCAACAACATCTCAATGCGGATTTCCAAAGTGACTAAAATCGAAACACCGATTCTGAGCTGTAGTTTTAAAATGTAGATTTTGAGATATAGCTTTGTGATTCACGGTTGGTGCACCACATGGCGACACCTTGGAGTACCTAACGAGGGCAATGCTTTAATCAATCTTGCTTGTGTAGCTCCATGGCCTGCACGTTTCAAAGCCTTGCTGAAGGCTGTCAGTATTAAGGAACTGACAGTTTCGCCACAAGGGCAAGTCAATGAACGCGACTATCTGCGAGATCGAGCAGTGTCGCGGTCTGGCGGCAACTGGCTGAAACGGTGAATTGTCAATGGCTCCTTGCGTCGTCTGCTAGCCACGTCGTGTTTCTATGTGCGCGTACGTCATGCACGTTCTCAAAGTGTGGTTTGTCCAGCCATGTCAGCGCGAGTGTAACTAATTCTACGTATGCCTGAAACGACGTACGACAGCATTTGGTCTTGCTCGGCTGCTAATCATCGTAATAAGATCGGTGAGTGCAACTTTCCAGAGTGCTGTTTATTGTCGTCGTACCCTCCATTCACCAGAATAATCTTCAGAGTGTGTGCCAGCTGCCCAGCCGCGGTGGTCTAGTGGCTAAGGTACTCGGCTACTGATCCGCAGGTTGCGGGTTCGTATACCGGCTGCGGCGGCTGCATTTCTGATGGAGACGGAAATGTTGTAGGCCCATGTGCTCAGATTTGGGTGCACGTTAAAGAACCCCAGGTGGTCGAAATTTCCGGAGCCCTCCACTACGGCGTCTCTCATAATCATATGGTGGTTTTGGGACGTTAAACTTCACATATCAATCAATCAAGTGTGTGCCAGCTCATGTTTCAAGCACATCGCAAAATGCCCTTGGCATCCTGCCAAACTTTAGCACTATAAATGGTGTGTGTGAATGCGGTGTTTTATAACGACTCGGTTGTAAAAAAAAAAAAAAACAGGCTCTAGATTATGCACTTGCACGCTGTTGGTAGGTGTACTACTACGGCACTGTACTTTATCGATCATGCGAGGAGCCTTATTTGTGTTTATCTGGCCGTGGTACTACTACATAGAAATATTACTATCACACCAACTGTGACACATTGGTATTTAAACTGTACTTAAAACAGAGTTACCCTGCGCAACCGTGTGCTTAGATTTAGAAACGCTTCGAAGAACTCAGACGTTGAAAATTAATTCAGACGGCATGCCTTATATATTATATATGATTTCACTGAAAATTTTTTCTACATTGTCTTTAACGCTTGTGTGGCATTGTTAGCGACTGACGGAAGGCAGTGGTCATTTTTTGACTGAAAAAAAGGCATGATTGTTCCATTAACCAGGCCTTCGTTATAGCACTGCCATGCACGCAATCCATCGATGAAAGCTTTCTGCTGAACAATATATATATATATATATATATATATATATATATATATATATATATATATATATATATATATATATATATATATATATATTCTTACTGGTGCAAGAACATGTGCGTACACGTGGTAAACGCAATGTAGCGCAAAGCGCCGTCAGCCACTAAGCTTTCCTGACTAAATTTTTATCGACTGTCCTACATTTATTAGTGAACAGAATGAGAGAAAAAAAATCATGCGTATAAGGTGTGCATGGTGGTACTGAACTAATCGCACAGATATGCGCGCTTTCTACGATTGTTCTTTCTCTCTTTTTTTGATGTATGCAGATTACAAAGATGTGAATAAATAGTTCAGTCACGCCACTGCATTGCGTATGTCGGCACACAAGCTAATTACGAACAAACAACACAGCAATAGCGTGATTCAGTGCGAAAGCGTGAAGAGAGTCACCCAGGGCGAGCATCTCTTGAAAGGCAGAATGCGCTTTATCGCGGCTAATGTTGACGTTGCAAAGGCATCATGCACCGACTCAGTAAAGAAGAACGTAGATAAGAACAGTAAACTGTAGTCAACGCATTGTACTCGCCGACATTCGGCTCAGACCGCACGCAACGAAGTGCCACTGGGTGTATTTTGTATGCGCTGCCGACAGCCTATCGACACTTTTTCGGGAACATTGCTGCTAACTATAGCCCGATCTCGCCGCGAATAGCAGCAAGTTGAAATTTTATACATAGTAAAGATAAGGAAGCTTAGCTCCCAGCCTTTTGGGACCTGCAGGGTCCAGTAAGAACAATGCTTTAAGAGAATATGGTCCCTCCTGGAAGCGAAGTGGTCTTCTTTTTGTCTGTTGGTTCAAGGAGAAATGAGTGGTTGAGCAAAGCATGTACAAAGCTATGAGCCATCCACTGATGTCTGTCTAGATAGCGCACGCGATCGCAACATTTCAATTGAATTTCGCGGGACCTACCTTATAGCTACGTAGCCTTTTACAGCAAAGTTGTATTTACTTCAGCCGCGCACAACATAAGAGGTCCGCCGAGGCCTCGCCCAGGTGACCGAAACGTGACAGGCGATCGCCTGCGCGACTAAATAAACAACACGGACGTCAGCGGCGTCCACACGAGTGGTGCAACGTGGTGACGTCACCAAATGAACTCATCATGACGTTACAAATGACCAAAATTTATGGTGTCATCGCATGGTCTAATGGGCGTCGATCACGGAGGCAGTGTAAAAGCAGGCGGTGCGCAGAAAAGTTGCAATGCCTTCGATCTTGTCGGCAATGCTAAATAAAGTTAGGTGGAAAACGATTTCTAACGTGGACGGGGGAAGATCGAGACATCGACTGAGAAGAAGAAAAATATTGCTTTCATCTTCGAGTCGTCCCTACGTGAATGCAGGCAGGATGCTGCGAGGTAATTGTGAGGGTCCTGTGAGACTCCCTAAAGGCAGCAACACTACATAGTGTGTATCACGGAAACGTGGTCGGCGTCCCCGGGAATCGTATACCCGCGCCCTCCTAGACTTCAGCAGTGCAACTCCAAAAGAACCAACAATAACGCATCGCACTTGAAAGAGGTGAATACACTGGTGCCACCGCAGCACTGCGGCACATAGGAGAACGGGAGTGGCACGTCACGTCCTTCGCGACCTTGTGGTGGCGCGAAACACGTTTTTTGATTGTGCTCCTGACTTCATCGCCAACGCGGCGCGTGATCCTCGAACGCCGTTCGATTTACTCAGTGTGCGCGGGAGATTTATGTTCGACCAAGCGCTATACACTCGCACGGAGCTTGTGCAAACAGTGGCGTCGAAACAATGCGAATGACCATAAGGCAACAAGTGGGAGGAGCGTAGATCGTTTCTATTCGCTAATGAAGAACTACAGCGTAACACGGTAGATCTGGCACAGACAAGTGAGGAGCTCGGCCACCTTTGACGTACTTTTTTTTCCTGTCACTTTTGCCTCTGTATCAATGAACAATGAGATCGAAAATGCATTTATCTTATGATCGGAAGCTTATAGGACAATATGCATGCTTCAGATAGCTGCCACCGGCCACGTCATTCGTGTGACCTCCATTCGATGAGCGTACGATTTGACGGCATGCTTTAAAGTGCAGGGTGTACGTACGAGTCATCATTCGCTTAGGACATGATATAGTGCTCGTACACGTGGCATAAATGTGATCGGGTCTCATTGTTGCTTATACAGAGATCGAGAGGCTGATGTTGGAGGCCAACGACACGTTTCCGCGCCAGAGCGACCTCCTGGACGCTGGCGAGGCACTCATACGAATCCAGAAGACCTACCGGCTCAACCTCACCGACATGGCCAGGGGCGTCATCATGGGCCACAAGGCAACGGCGCAACTGACTGGTACGTATGTCGTATTCATTTTTGTAACTGCGCAAAAAAAAGGCGGGGGGGGGCGGAAGCATGAAGTCGTAACTTATTTGTTAGTCCTAGACTATTTTTCTGCCATAAATAACCATTCAATAACCGGGTTTGCTCTGCCCAAATGAAAATTTCGATATTCACGATGTAGGACTTTATATAAGCATACATTTTTTCTCCTAATATATTTATACTGCAGCAGCCAGGTGGAAAGGGGTAGCCGTCACCAAGTAATGATGAAAGCTCTTTTATTATTTTCTATTTCAATAAAGAGGTGGTCAAAAACTTCTCATTGAAACCTACACTTGGCCTTAATATGCATATTTCGTGTGTATATGACAATATTATTAGACGTGTACCGTGAAACTGGTGTTGCGTACCAAGTGAATCAGTGTATTGTGGAACTTGTTATCGTGTATCAAAAATTATGGCTTCGCGTGACGGCACTGTTCCGACTTTGGCATGCGCATATTAGGATTATATGCGTGTGCTTGTAACGCTGGAACAGACACATAGCACGAAGCGCCCAGAGGACACGTAGCAGCCACTGGTAAACGAGACCAGTACCACGCTGAGAAACGCAGCCGGTGTAAGGGCCACCCCGGACTCCCAAGCACGGCTTGCTCCGCCCTAGTAAGCTGAATGGGATGTAGCAGGCCCGTTGTGAAATGAGGGCTTGGAGTGGGTGAATCTTTAAGAAAGCGCTTGCAGCAGGTCGCCTCGAAAAAATTTTTATGGTGTTTACAAAAAATGTTTGACGATTTTGAGTATTTGGTACTCAACTATTGGAGAGCAGTAAGCCGCCCCGTGCGGAGTGTCCACTTTTGACAGAAACTTTTTAACGGTGGTATCTTGATGAATTATAGTTTGAAGTTCCTCCAGCTTCGTTGTTGTGGGCTTCTCCTTCCATTCTTTCATTATTTAATTTTGTTCTTTAAAGTGCAGGTTAACCATTGTGTATTTGTCAAGAAAAGTTCCCACCTTGGGATAGAACTTTGATAATGCGTGGTCATCTAAGTAGGATTATTCTGCTAAGGTCAATTTCCTTTGGCTCTAATTTTGTGTACGTCTATTGTGCGTGGTGCTGACATAGTAGTTTAGATGACTTTTTATCCTGATAGGAAAAAGCATGCAACAAGATAAAAAAAGGTCATCGAGTGCTAAGCTGCCTGAGCTACATGGATGAGTTATACGCAAAAGATTGATGAAGAGAGAACGTAACAGGCGTACTCTAAACTAAACATCTTAACATTCTATAAAGTTGGGCTGATTAGCTCCAGAACACTACAAGTGGTCACCATCAAACAATGAAAGGCCTTTTTATTATTTTTTGTTGGTTTGACTGACTCACACTTGTTCAGCACATATCTGAGCACTGTATTCTTGAACAGGGATATTTGTCTTGAAACAACGGGATATGAAATTAGTGTTTCAGAACCCCTAAACAACCTCTGAAAGCACAAAGCCTTATCTTTGTCTGGCGTTTCCTGTTTGTTTTTTTACGTAATTTGTGATGCCATCGGCCTGTTCACAGGACCTCATGAAGAAATAAGATCTCGATTGGTCCACACACCAGGGATATCAGTCATGGATCGTCTCCTGCGCTGCTCTACCATTCAGTGACCCTTGTCTGGCATGATATCGCATGCAATCGACTGATATAATTTCGTTTTGAACGTTTTCGACTGTGCAAGCGTATATATAACAGCGTTTAGACTAAAATTGTGATATATTCGTAGACTTGACGCTAACAGTGCTGACAGTACATGTGTTTTAGACAGAAATAAGTGTCACGGACGCGATAGCATCTCTGAGAATCGTAAGGATAAAGATATTGTGAATTCATGCTAGAACCGGGGGTGTGTCTTCTTTTCCTTTCTAATCTCTGGGAATGGCAACTAAGGCGAGAAAGAAACTACTGTCCCGTCGTTTATACCGGAGTGGCTCAAAAACCTTTTAAGCACAGGGTCACAAGTGTATTTATTATCAGTGCAAGTTGGTATAGACACATACTCGCTTCTGCAATTCACCGTAAGTCTATGCCTATTTCAAAGTACGTCGCATGTCCTTCCTTCCCACCTCCAACGCGCAGCACGAGACTGTCTGTACTTCGGCCAGCTGCTGTACAGCAAGTCCGACTTCGAGCACGCCACCAAGTGGTTCGAAGAGGCTCTGACCAGGCTCAGCCTCGAGAAGCACCCGTCCATCACTCCAAGGACGGTGCACGCGTACCTCGCCAGCAGTCTGGAACAGGTAAGCCCCACTCAACGCTTGAACGCGCACTGTGCCGCTCGCATCAACCTGTAACCTCACTGAGGAAACTTCTCCAAAAATTTCGGCCATTGGGTATTCTTTACCATGCGCTGACCTCGCACAATGCACGGGCCTCTCTACCACGTCCTATAGTCCCAAGGCCTAGATCTTGAGGACGTTGTGCGCCGGCTAGGCGTTGGATACTCGGGCTCCTCCGCTCCCGTTGTCCGGGGCGTCGGCTCCCTTTCTCGTCTGCTTTGCCAGGGCCTCCTCAAGCCGTTGGATGGCCCTTCGTTGCGCCGTTGAGTCTTTGGAGCGTATCCATGCTCCCACCTCTTCGGGGTACGTGGCGTCCTGGCACTGCCCATTCCCATTGTTCACAGCACTGTTACACCCGCCCCACATGATGTGGCGGAGGGTGGCTAGTTCACGCTCGCACACACTACACACTTTGCGTCCACAAACATGTCGGGGCATACGTGCCGGGCCAATGCTGGCGTTAGCACGCATTCTGTTTGCAATTGTCGGAGTTTCACTGCTTCCGCACGTGACAGTTCACGATGCGGGGATCCATTATGGGGAACGCCAGGGATCCGTTTAGCGTGCGCAGTCAGTGCCCGTTACAGAACACCATATCATCAGAATTTCTGGAGCCTTCCGCTACGGCATCTCTCGTAACGTGGTTCTGAAGCGTTATTCCGCAGGTAATAATAATAATAATAATAATATTAATAATTTGTTGTAATAATGTTGTTTTTGTTGTTTAGCAAATGCTTGCGCAGAATTCATATTTGTGCCCACGAAGGAAGGGAAGGTAGGAGAGGCCCTGACGTCACTCGTTGTGAAGCCGCGATGAAGCCGGAAGTCGGCCATATCGACTGGGAAAATTCTCCCCTCTTGTTTACATCCGAATGCGAAGCAGAAGGCACGACTCTCTCTCCGGCTCGGAAAGCACGTGAGCTGCGCAGCGCGCGTGTCGTGACGATCCGAAACTAATGAAACGGGACTCTGGGCCAGCGCGACACCTTCGGTGAAATCATTTCGTCCGAGTATTGACGGCGACTAACAGGTCACCGACAACGAAGCAAGTACAAGAGAACGCGCGCTAGATGCACCGACAACGGCGAGTGTTTTTACGTCATTAATTCAGCAACTGTACAGACAGTACGATCAGTCGAGCGCTTTCTACGGCTGCATTCCGCCACGTGGCCGACGCAGCGTCCGGCCACTGTGTCCGTGTTCCGCGTGAAACTGACCGGCGTCAGCATTCTGCGAACGTGGTGACTTTGAGCACGCTGCAAGTGACGCTTGAACGCGGTTGTTCTAACGTTGAGATTACAATGCTGGGGTTGAGTATAACAGCCGGAGCAGGAAAGCTGTTTTATTACGCACATACAAGTTGTTACTGTACACATACTGAACACCAAACTACGTATGTGCACATCGTCCTCATTCCGTCTTGCTGGGCTCAACAGTTTCGTCCATTGTCACAAGCAGGAGCACTGCCCAACCGTCACTGACCTGCAAAGCGTTCGTCGTCGTTCCGCTTCTTCATGGTGCCCAACGCAATTTCGCTGAACACTAATTGCTTCATCCACGTCATCCGCCGCACGACACATGTATATGCACTCGTTCTACGCACTTTTGAAACCTCGTGATGGACAAAAGGATTTGTAAACATTGCTAAGAGTACAGTAACTGGCGGGAGAACACTGCGTAACCAATAACGTGGCGCTGAGCACGCACATTATCCGCCACGGCTCAGCACGAGACCTGGGGAGGCGCACATGCCACCGCCAGCCGCGGCCGCTCACTGCTAGACCAGCTCCGCTGCGCAACACGTAACCATAGCAACGCCGCCATTGTGCCCAGTGAATATGGCCGCCATGATGTCATTTCCTCCCAAATTTTCACGTAGCGCGCCGGCTGGGCATGTCCTCTCCTACGTTCCTTCCTCCGTGGTTGTGCCTTTTTAACTCGCTTGTGTGTAAAACGACTTGTATCTGCACATTGTCGACACGTGTTCTACATCGAAGCTACGTATAGCTTAGTGGAACCACAATTACTCCGTTCTACGTGCGCAAAAGTTCTCAGCGCATATGTGACACCCAAATCAGACAGGCCGCACTACTCAAAGCTGCTCCACTATAAACACAAGAACAGAGCCCACGCGCGGAAAACGATGAGCACGGTTTCGAAAACTAGGTGAAAATCAGTTGATAAAGACTTTAGCAAAACGTCGGGATTCACCCGGTGATAAATAGTGGGTCTGCACGTTTCAGGTTCACTTGTTCGCCATCTGCGAAGTGCGTCTAAGCGGTAATTACCTCATCTTCTCTCGCCAATTATAAATCGTTAACTACTTTCTCTAAGCACAACAGAGTATCATAGTATATACGGGAAGGCTTCACGCTCTCTCATAAGTATGTTTCTCTATGCTGCCATAGTAGAGTACCGAGTACTCTAAATTGTTACCAACTTCTTCTAAACAAAGGGCAGTAGGCGCTACACCTGAGCGATTTCCTCTGGCTGCGCACGGAACGGCTTTATGCTCTTCCATAGTAGAGTACCTAGTCTCAAACTTGTTAACCACTTTTTCTAAACACATACTCTAAATCGTCAACTACTTCATCTGAACACACAACAAGCTTGCTCTTTTGGAGCCCTAATATTTGTCGTTGCGGCCTCATCGAGTATGAGGTCCACTGGACGGCTTTCAGTTCTCCCATAGCAAAGTACCAAGTACTCTACATTGTTACCCACTTTTTGTGCACATATTCCACAAGTTCTTATTCTGGGTACTTGGATAGCTCTCCCGTGGTTCAGTACACCGTACTCTGCATTGTCGAACACTTGGAACAGCTTACGGCTTTCCCATAGTTGAGTACACATAGTGCCAGATCGTTCAGCGGTTGTTTTTACCACATGAAAACAAAGAGCTGGGAAACTCATAATTCCGGGGATAGTTTACAACTCTCCATTATAGAGTTTACATATAGTACTCTACTTTTTTTTCCTAAACACACTCGTAGAGTTGGGACAGCTTGTGGCTTTCCAGTTGTAGAATACGTACATGTCCTCTAAAGCGTTCAGAATTTATTCTAAACCTTTTGCTGAATCACCTGCAACAAAAGCATTACGAGGTTTGTTTGAATTACTTGTAATCAATTATATTGTTTACGCAAACTGACTGTGCACGACCTTCGCATCACTGGAAAAAGCACATCTTGTGACAAGTTTTTCAGCGTGCCTTATTTCGGGTGCTTGTTTTCGTGGCTGGGTGTGGAACAAAAAAAAAAACATTTTATCTAAAACTTAGTCAGTGCAGCTGTCAATGCACGAATGGCTGTCACTAGTTAATCACATTATTTACCAAGTAGTTTAGGAACCATTTTTATATAATGGTATATTTATTTCCTCCATGCAGTGACTGGTTAGCATTTTCATTTTTGTAACGTTTGGGTTTAAACTAAATATTATTCATGCGAATGTTCCCTTGGTCGTGTCATATGTAGCGAAATTAAATTGTGGCGTCCGTGCTCCTATGTTTGATACTAAACTCAGCCTTTCGTCCGTAAAAATCCACACAGAACATATAGTTCAGGGAAAGAGGGAGGTTTGCAGTGAAGAGAAATCCTTTCACGAAGGCCGTCCCTGTTCCGTTTTTTCTTATAATTTTATGCAAGTCTTCGTGTGTTGTAGCAAACTCGACATAAAGTATTATCTTGACTAAATCTGTGTGCATGCAGTCAGATTTTATGTTGCTTTCTTTCGCACAAGTGTACAAAATGCATATTTGCCCCTGTATTCAGACAGGCCCCTCGACTTCAACTTGACTTGCCACCACAAGTCAAGCGCGTTTCAAACGCGTTGCCTTGAGGTGGTGGCAAGTCAGGTTCAAATACATGAGCGTTTCTGAATATGGGAGCAAGTGTTCACAAAATGGAGCAACAACTTATCGTACTACAAAGACAGTATATACGAAACAATTTGGGTGCCATACGAAAAGTTTGAGAAGGTATGTCTTGTTTTTTTTTTCTATGCTCTGGAAGAAAGATCGTGAAGTGATATTATTTTAATTCCTATCATGAGCCTGATATGTACAGTCTTTTCCAGCTGGAAGAACAGCAGAGGCTTAACGAAGAACAGCGATACACCACGGGTAAGTTGTATCACTATGTCATCGTTCGATTGCTTCCCTGGAAACCTCTCTAGAAATAGGATACGAAACAAGAGTGTGACCACTCTTGTTTTCTCGTTCTATATTTGTTTGTTTGTTCGTTGTTTTAGTAGTGCTTCCGCTAATATGCATCAGCCAGTTAGACCTCGCCAAGCTTTTCACTATTGCGGATCTATTCTCGCCCCCACTTTCGCCCTCAAAGAACTGGACACTAAATCAGTAACAAAATAAACACGCCAAATCGCGAGCGAAGTCACCCATTTTCCGAACCCTCCACCTTTTTGCCACGACCTGATTATGAGCGTTCGCATGTATTTCATAGCTATTAAATTATGAGAGGAATACACAAGCTGACAAGATGTTCTACGTTGCCTCTCACTAACAACATGGCCACGTTTCACAACATTCTAGTCGGTCTTCGATCTCCCTAAAAGCATATACAATATGAATGCGTCCTTAGTGGATTAAACTCATGTATATTGCTATGCATACGTAACGGCAACCATTTACGGATTAGCTTAGGGCAGCCACTACTATGCACTGCGGATATACCGCCAGTGTTCTATATCTCTCAACAAGCTTCCAATATGGCGATCAATCATCTGCTTCCCTATCTAGCCAGGAACCGCCCTGGCGCTCTCTCCTTCCAAACACTACCGGAATCGCAAGAAGGCAAAATATACAAAGGTATTCAGGTCTATATGAGTCCTAATGCCTGAACAAAAATAAAGCTGAAGATAAAGAAAAAGCCTATGAAAAGCTCAGAGTGACTTCACCCTGTACTTTCATGACATTCGTAGGCAGCCACCACGATCAAGATTTAATTCAACGTGCACAGGAAAATAAGTCAGTGAAACCGTTGTCGGCAAAAACTGGAGATACTCCTATCCCCAATCAAGTTGCTAACACTTACCCAACAGCTCACAGCCCACCGCGGTGGAGCAGTGGTTATTGTGCTCGGCTGCGGACCCGAAGGCCGCGGCTTTAATCCTGGCCGTGGCGATTGAATTTCAATGGAGGCGAAACGGTAGGGGCCCTGTGTACTGTGCACTTCCAGTGCACGGTAAACAACGCCAGATTATTAAAATTTTCGGTGTCCCTGCTCTACGGCGTTTCTGACAATCATATCGTGGCTTTGGGACGTAAAAACCCTGGTGGTATATAACATGACAGCTCGTATCTTGCTTGTAACCCTCAGGTTCAATAGTGCTGCTTGCGGTCATTGCGGCAGCGATGAAACTATAGAGCACGTTCTCTGTCACTGCCCTCGTTACAGCGTGCAAATACGGAAACTAGCTGCTGCGTTAGCTCTCCTAGACGACAGACCTTTGTCTGAACAATCAGTGCTTGAAAGGTGACATGATTTGTGTGCTCACAGAAAATCAGTGAAGGCCTTACTGAACTTTTTGCGTGGCAGTGGCCTATTGTATAGACTATAGCACCCCAGCCCCCCCCCCTTTTTTTTTTGCGCGCGTCTATTTCCCTCTTCACTTTCTTTCCCGTCTTTCTTCCCCATTCTCCCTTCCCCTAGTGCAGGGTAGCAAACCGGATGCTCCATTTTCTGGTTAACCTCCCTGTCTTTCCCTCATTTTATTCTCTCTCTCTCTCATGTTCAATACCCGCTTCTACAGGAAAGAGATTGAGCTGACGCCCGAAATTCGCTGGGCTAGTGCAGGGATGTTAGGTCAGTCACTTATGTCACCTCAGGTGATATTGAAGAAAATTTCGGTCGGGCCTAGTTGGTATATAGTATTATTGAAGGTGAAATTTTGAGCGCAATCTAAGTTGGGACCACAACGAGTAGAAGAGACGAGCAGTAGTGGCTCTTACTAACAAGTGATTCTTTCTTCTCTCAACAATGCATATAAATGTCACTACTGCAGATATTGCATGCATGCGCATGCATAACAAAACGTACTTCATACGTTGAAACAGATCGATAATGAAGATCCGCACCCATGAATGAATTCATATGTGGAGGGGTACAAATATATAGACGTCTCACTGATACAATCGACTTCTTTTTTTCCTGATATAGGATCCAGTGCTCGTCTGCACTATTTTTTGTGTGGTCTGTTTTAGTTTGTGCTAAAGGTTTCCTTTTAAATCTGGTGACATTTGCTTCCTTGAAAATAAGCCCCGACAATTTCGCTGGTTTTTCTTATGCCGCTCGCGTGGTTCCTTTTGTTAACGTGCGCATGCGTTGACTCAACGAAGAGGCTTACGCGGAAGTCAGCCCCAAGGTTCCTACCATAACGATGCCCTTCACCGAGGGATACCTGGAGACGTACAACAACCTCTGCCGCGGAGACAAAGTCCGGGTAAGTCGCTTCGCATTTTTCACGGGACCTAAGTAGCGTTGTCTACAAAACGTTTTTGCAGTGCATGACGCTTGACTGAACAAAATATTGTTACAACACTAAGAAAAAGACTGGTGTAAACATGTCTATGATGCACGATGCGATGATACATTGTTCGTTGAAACAGTGAGCGCGAAATATATTAGAGAAAAAGAAAAAAAATTGCACCATCTCCCCGAAGGGGACCCGGATGGGATGCGAAGCAGCGGCAGCGATGCGCACAGGTGGCGTCATGGTTTGAACGGTGCTAACGCGAGTGCTGCGGTTAGCGCTGAAAGATTCGTTTGAAGCGACGGCTTGCGTAAATCTTGTATTTGACACGTACAGACATGTTTCAACGCGTACGTTAGACACGCGTCAGGTTTATTGCGCGTGAACGGACGAGTCGGCAGTGTAGCGAGCGGTGGTCGCGGCAGGTGTTGCGGGCGAACTGACGAGGCGGCAGCTGCGAGAGCCGCGGCGTGCGCGCGGCAGGCGAGGGAGAAAGTGACGTCAGCGTGCACTGCGAGGGGAGCGTCACGTCAATGCGCAGCAGCGGTGCGACCTACTTGGCGCCACACCAACACCTGCGGCGCGCAGCACGTTCGTACGGAGGTGACAGCGTTAGACGGGCTAGTCAAAGAGCTGCTTCACATCTCAAAAACAAAAAAAAATCCGGCAAAGTAAGAACTGTTTCGTTTATGCTTGCATTCTGATTTGCAAAAGTACTCCCTGAATTTGTTCGCTGACACAGAACCAAGTTTCGGTTGAATAAGTGCCCGAAACATACAAATAAAGCGCGTGTGTGCTAATTTTGTTTGCTGAAGTATAAAAGGACGAGTACCGGCAAGAAAGAAAAAATAAGGACAGAACATAAGGGCATCCTTTCTGTTCTGTCCTGAATTCCTTTTCCTTGATGGTACGCGTCTTCTTATATTTCGGTAAGCATGTACCAACTACCCAACGACAAGTTGTATTATATTATGCTTCTTTTGTGTTCCGCGTCACCTTGCTCTTTGATTAGAACGCGACCTGAAGAGAAGGACCTACGCTGCTACCTGAGCGTTCCACACCCGTACTTCCGAATCGGCCCGGTCAAGATGGAGGTGATGAGCCAGGACCCGTACATCGTCCAGTTCTATGACGTCATATGGCCCAAGGAAATCCATGCCATCCGCAACATCGGTGATCCCGTGGTGAGTCTTTTTCTGACATTCTTGATGTTGTATACAGAGTCACAGCCTCTTGTGACTGGTCTTTTTTTCTGTTTGTTTTCTCTCTAAATAGCAGAAAAGACTGATCGTATATTGGGAGGTGCAAGATAATAAATTCGCGAAGTAGTTCCCACTTTTTTGTCAGCGACTTTTGTATATACTTATAAACACCTTAGATTCGCAATTTTCACGGTATGTGAAAATTTTCTTATTATAGAACAGGCCTATTTAGCAAGCCTACGTCGTCATATTGTTGTCTCAATCGTTCTAACTGCAAAATATATGATCTCGGCCAGTCGCAAGTGGCGAAAGAAAACAGCAGCGCTCGACTTCGCAATGCCAGCTAAGCGCAGTTGCATGGAGCGCGTGTCCTGCTTGACTGAGTCGGCTAAGTTCAGGGTGCCTTGGGGGCTCATACCACACATGTCAATAGCCACTTGCCTCAGGCTCTTGTTTTGGGAAAGCGACACCAGATTGACATTCCAGCATGGGTGTGGACTGTCTGTTTGTTCCAGAAAATCGCAAATACTGCGAAGCTCCGATCTTTTCGTCGCAGCAGTTGTTTTGACAAACCCGGTTAAAGCCTGTGAGAGCCAATCTTGATGGAGATACCGATGACCTTCAAGTGCTGGCAGTTCGCCAGTAGATGAACTGCAGCTGACTCGCGATGGCCGGCTTGTTGTACTAATAAAAGCTCTGCTCCCCAAAGAGACTGGCTGAAAGTTACAAGAATACTGTTGCCGTGGCCGCGCATCGTTGTTTTGCCTGCTCTGAAGAAAGAAGGGGCCATTCTTCAAGGTCAGTTAGTTATACGTGCCGGGCTCTTCTTGAATTCCAAATGGAGAACCAAGAAGTTGCTTTTAAAGACGTCTTTCTTGGGGACCATCGACGGAAAAATTTTGGTCTGTCTCTATGTACATTTGTCTGTCCGCCCTAACGATACCTCAAACGGCACAAAACGTCCCATCCCATCCGCAGCGCCCACCAATATTGCTGAAGGTTTAGCGTTCATAGCTGTGCGATTGTCAATTAAAAAAAGCAAATATTGCGCATATCTGAGGCGCCATAACAACATGTCTATGTTTTGTATGTCTGCCTTTATACTAGAAGAGGCCCACACAAGTAACTCTATGGACTGTAGCGTTTAGCGCGCTGCACAGATAGTGCAACGCGATGCTCAAAAAAGGCGTTTCTAACGCTTTGCTACGGCGGCACGGTGGTGGCACCTACCCGTCGCTTTGCATTCTACACTATATATCACCTCCGTGACTGGCGCACATCTTTCTCCGTGGTCACACACGCCTTCGTTTTCGAAGATAACTGCCAGATGGCGCTTGTGCTTAACGTACCTAGATGCGCTTGTTCGCTTCTGTTACACGCTCGAGGCACTCTAACGCTGTGCCTTCAGAATACCATTCACCGATTTTCTTGCGCAGAACATCAAATGAACGTTTTGTTCACTCTCTCCAGACGCAAGGCTATCGTATTTCGAAAACATTTACAGTGTAACATGTAGATTCGGGCCAATTTTTTTTTCCCAAGTGGCCAGCTTTGTCACTGTCTGACACATTTCACTTTCCGATGCCGTGCGGCAAGCAAGGTGGTCGGTGGCTCTTCACTTTAGGGTTTCCATGTTGTTATTTGTTCGTTCGCCGAGCACCGTTAGGCGTAAGCCTCGGTCAGTCAGAAAATACTATTGAGGCAGTAGCGCACCTTCGGGATTTTGCCTGCATGAATAATTATATTTGGTGTAAAACAATAAAAATACTACGTTTACGATCTTTTGTCTGAAAAAAGAATTGCAGGTTTTCCCAGTCTCGCATCGATACGCAGCTACTCACTGCTGAAAAGAGACGCTGTGCACAAGTGACGTAAATAACAAAATTGCAACTATTTGTGAGGCCTTGTCGTCTGACAAGGCTTGCTGGAAAAGAACTATTGTTCTTATCTGAAGTAGACCCTTTGCGTCACTGCCACCGATCACTGGCGAGCCGCAGCTTGTAGCCAGAAAAGAAGCTTTCCGTCCCTCGGAAACGTGAAGAACTCGAGTGGCTCTCGAAATACTCCGACACCTGCATTCTTTGGTTGAGATGTGGTGTTTAACATCTCAGAACCACCATACGATTATGAGAGACGCCGTAGTGGAGGGCTCCGGAAATTTCTACCACCTGGGGGTTCTTCAAGGTGCTCCCAAATCTGAGCACACGGGCCTACAGCATTTTGGCCTCCGTCGAAAATGCAGCCGCCGCAGCCGGGATTCTATCCCGCAACCTGCGGGTCAGTAGCCGTGTACCTTTGCCACTAGACCACTGCGGCGGGGCCAGCTGCATTGTTTATCGGTCGTCTTTGTTGACCACTGCGTGGCTCGTCGTTAAAAACGAGGCCAATTTTTGACCAGGACGGGGCTGGCAACAGGCTCCGTAGAACCAACACATGTATTTTGACACCTCGAGATTATTATGAAAGCCGTCTTGCATACACACAGACATATAGTTCCTCGTGAAATGGCTTACATTCAAAAATAAGATATTCATTGCGCTGAACTCTACACAGCGCAAATGACTCGATAAAACTGACGCAATCTCGATAATCTCAGATGTAGGTTTAAGATTCCACGTCGAAGCATGTGAGTGCTCACCTGAGGATACCGCTGCGTGAGTAGAGGCGAGCCCGAAGGCGATGACTCACGACTGTGGCATTGAACGGGCGTAATAGGGACAGCTGTCTAGGCCAGGCCGTCACGCAGCTTAATAGCGAGCTGGCACGGGTCTCGTAGACGTGCACCGAACGGTACCAGTGTTGCGGAGTTCCCGCTCCGGAATCGGAATGACTCCGGAATCGTCCTAAATTTTTGAAGCCCCGGAATGGAATGGCAATGGAATGGAGACAACGCTTGGAGGAATGGAATGGGAATGGAAATTAAGCGCTTTTGGAATGAAATGAAATAATAATGTAATTATGTTTTTTAATTAGAGCATGTTTTTGTCTACGCACTGTTTTTCAAACTTCAAACACCATTAAGACAGAGCAATTTAACAATATATCAGAATTTTGGAACATGTTTTGCCACACTCTTAATTGCAACTACTGCAAAGTCACCCCCCAAAATAGGCATGTAGGCCTGAGTACATATTTTTTTAGCTTGAAGGTCACAATTTGGTCCACATTTAGTTAGCCAAAGCCAAGGGTAGGCGGGCCGCAAAAGTGTGAACAATCTGCCGATTTTCGAGAAAGAAACCAAGGCATCAAATAGTGTACAAACAAATGCAATATCCCACCAGATACTGATGGCAGAAACAAATTACTCTTACACATAAGTTACCATTGATACTCCAACACGAAACTGGGCGAATACTCTGTGTACAGCCTGGTCTTTATCTTCGGAGCTGTTCAGTATTTGAAACACGTAAAAAAAAAGGGAAACCTTTGGGACGAGGACGCCATTGCCTATCTGCGTATAGACGAATGCAGAAAGTTCGCTTCACCCCATTCATGATTGCGAGGCGGGCTTGACAAGCATGAGTGCTGATGAGCAGAGCGTCCCAGTGTTCAATCAGTATCCGATGCAAAGGTGCATGGTGCTCGAGTGGTGCACTGTTCCAAATAATAACAGCCGATATAGAGAATTTTGTTCCCCATTAACTTAATCTTTGGTCTAAATTCACAACCACTTCAGACGCGTAGCAAAAGTGCCTAGTTTTCGTGAGCACTATTTTTGTCAACATAAAAATAGGCCATGTCCTGATTTCAGCATGAGCACGTTTAAGCCTAAACAATATTAAAACATGCTGAATTAGCAGGAACAGTTCGGCGGGTCAGTTGAAAGTCATGTTCGAAAAACAGAAATGGCAACACACTGGCAGAAACGAGACAGGATGATGCGATAGTAGCAACAAAAACTTTAGTCGAAATCGTAGAAAGATATACACACAATTTGCCAAAAAAAGACAAAATAAAAAACTAACAACTGCTGAACTAGTATGTGCACATAAGATCCAATATGTAAAGAACCACGAAGTAGAATACCTTGATCTCACTTATTCTGCTGACAAAAACGTGCTTGTTTTTAGGGGCGAAGCTTCTTATACGCCATGGATCGTACGTCCCGTGTCATCGTAGTAGCTAGTTTTCAAGGTCATAAAATTGCATTGCATGTCAATTGAAATGGTGTAGCAGCATATCCGCGCAGTTAATGATGAGTGGGGCGCAGCGTCTGTCACTTCGTCCATGCGTCCGTCCGTGCGTGCGTCTGCCCCTGCATCTGCCCATGCGTCTGTGCCCCTTACGCCGTGGGTAATACGTCCCGAGTCGTCGTAGTATCCACACACAGTGTTTCTCACGTCTTTGATGATCGACTAAGGCGATTGACCTCCCTGCGGAGAGCTTCGCCCCACTCGTCATCATTCACCTTGTGGATATGCTGTGATATTAAAGACGATAGTCTTTCTTGGGGACCTTCGACACAAATAATTCGGTCTGTCTGTTTGCATATTTGTCTGTTTGTTCACCCTTCACCGTACCTTAAACGGCACCAAAGTGACCAAACGATACTCCAAACGGCCGACCCCATCCGCAGCGGCCACCAACATTTCTCAAGGTTCAGCGTTCATACTTGTGCAATTGTCAATCAAAAAGGAATTATTGCGCTTATCTGAGGCATCATAACAACACGTCAATATTATATATGTGTACTTTTTACTAGAAAAGGCATACATAAGTAACTTTAAAACTCGTAGCCTTTATAACGCTGCGTTGGCCATGCTATGCTTGCACGAAACGACAAGTGTTTCCAAAGCTTTGCTATGACGACACGGTGGTGGCACCTACCCGTCGCCTTAATTTCGTTCTACACCTTATCACCTCAGAGACGGGTGCGCATGGCACGCGCGCCGTTTTCCAGGATAATTGCCAGATGGCGCTCATGTCTCACGTGTGACGTGACTTGATGCGCTCGTTTCGCCTCCGCTGCACGCTCGAGGCGAACCATTACCATTCACCGATTACCATTCACCGATTTTCTTGCGCAGAACATCAAATTGAAGTTTTGTTCACTCTCTCCATACGCAGGACTATCGTCTTTCGACGACATTTGTGGTGTAACATGCAGATATGGGGCCTATGTTTTTGTATTTTGTGCACACCTTTGTACGCTTTTGATTGAAACTTCTATTGCTAGTAGGCGCGTCATCTCACCTCCTTCGTGAATGCGTATTTTTTTTAGGGGCGAAAGCTCCTTGAGGCATTGGTCTGTCCATCCTCCGTTGTTGTCGTACGTAGCCATCGGGATGCAAGATGGGATATGGTCGGTATTCGGAGCTGTTCACTAGATGGACGTACTGGACAGACGCATGGACGGATGGACAGAAACGCTAGCAGACCGGCAGGACAGATTTATGGACGCACGGAGTGGGTATGTGCCACAGGGAGAGGCGAGATGACTGGTACTTGGAGTGTTCACTAGATGGACGCACAGACGGACAGGACAGACAGACTAGGAAAACGGACGTACGGATGGACGGACGCATGGACGGAAGCATGGACATATGGACGGACGCATGGATGGATGCACGGATGGTCACGCGGATGGACGGAAGCCAGAAATAACAGACGGACGGAAAGCACGACGGGCTGACGGACGCTTCGCCCCACTCATCATCATTCACTCTGTGGATATGCTGCAATTTTTTAGCGCTTTATTCAAAGACGAATACTAAAATTTAACCATTCGTTTAGGCGTGATCCTTATACAAATGCTATATGTAGCGGTAGAACTACCCCTATGGAAATTAGTAGGGTGGCTGTAGTGCACGAGGTACGTCATCAAGCTACTATCCCTCGACCTTGGTAACTTGTTTTGCGCAGCTTTACCGTTCCTAATACATCTGATGACATCAGCTTTACGAGCCACGCCGCGGTGGTCTAGTGGCTAAGGTACTCGGCTGCTGACCCGCAGGGCGCGGGATCAAATCCCGGCTGTGGCGGCTGCATTTCCGATGGAGGCGGAAATGTTGTAGGCCCGTGTATGCTCAGATTTGAGTGCACGTTAAAGAACCCCAGGTGGTCGAAATTTGCGGAGCCCTCCACTACGGCGTCTCTCGTAATCATATTGTGGTTTTGGGACATTAAACCCCACATATCAATCAGCTTTACGAAACGTTGATTTTTAATTTAAAAAAAAAACTAGCATGATACCTTTCCTTCGTGAAAAATGGAAATGAATGGAATATTAACTGCCCGCCATTCTCGGAGTGGGAATGAGCTAAGTTGTGTAATTCCGAGAAATTGAAAGGAATGTAATTGCGACATGTTCCGATTCCCAGGAATATAATTGGAATGAAATTAAGGTGCCCTTTCCGCAACACTGAACGGTGCCAAAATTGTTGAACGGCCAGACCGGAAAGCTCATCGAGCAAGATCGGACTGGGATTGGAATGAAGAGTTTGCCCCAGCTCCTGTAATTGCGCACTTCGTAGAAGTATAGCCTGAAATCTGTGTCACACATCCGCGCTGGGAGATTGGCGAAAATTTCGATAGTTATAAGAAAAGCACTTTATTTTTTAGCTTGCGTCTTTTAAAACGGCGAAAGGAATCAAAAATTCAATGTTCAAAATTGACAAATAGAAATTACGGATATAGAAGATGGAGCAGACAATTTTAACAACAAAAACGAACAAAGAAAGCAATTCAGAAACCAAGAATTTAGGAGTAAAGATTGATTTTACAGCTTGAATATCTCCGAACCTTTAATAATCTCCGGCAAAACGTGCTTCGGCGTTGCAGAAAGGGGTCACGAGGATGATGATGTCCTACTTCACTGCCTTACATCCACCCATCATTGGGTGTTCCCAAAATTATTTGTGCAGTGAACAGAAATAAAGCTCAGCTGTACATGTCATCGTAACTATAGTCGGCTAAAACATAAATATAAATGTGTGCTCCACCCACAGCGGCCCAGCAAAATTTTCACAAATGTGTCTTTAGAAAAATAAAATCACAGCATAGCCATGGAGTGAATGATGACGAGTGGGGCCAAGCGTCCGTTCGTCTGTCTGTATGTCCGCACCGACTGAGTGAGTCATCGAACATGGTGATCACGAACCAAGACGAGCTAGGGGGAACAGATGCATGGCTTTGGGGGCTTCGCCCCTATAAAGTGTTTTACGATTTAGAGCACTTGGTGCTCTGCTAAAAGGAGAGCAGAAAGCCGTTCTAAGCGCGGACTCCACTGTGGGTTAAGAAAAAGTGGTTAACGATTTAGAGTACTTAGTACTCTATTACGGGAGAGCTGAAAGCCGTCCTAAGAAAATAAGGCTTGATCAATGGACAGCCATAGAGTAACGTAGTACACACGTTACTCTAGTTTGTAGAGAATTTCGTTTTCAGATATATCTTACATAGCTTATGTGCACACAGAAAGACGGAAAATGATGTTACTCTGTTTAGAAATTTGGAACGCTGCACGATTTTGCTTGTCATTTTTGTGCAGGAGCCATGCTAATATCCTTTGTATCGTTCCAATTTCAGTAGGCGCACTTACTGTTTAGAAAACATTTATTTACAGTATGTACCGAACACAATGGCTTCATAACATTCCAGTAACAGGGCACATACACTTTGGCACACTATGTGTGTGTTCAGAAAAAGTAGTGGACGATTTAGAGTACTTGGTACTCTACTATGGGAGAGCATAAAGCTGTGAGCGTGTTTAGAAAAATATTTCAACGATTTCTAGTACTTAGTACTCAACCATGAGCGTACGCTATTACATCTGCCAATCGCTTATCTACTTGGCTTCGCTGTGTACGTATTACAAACTTATAACTTGGCTGGACAGGCACGTATTAATTTCAATAGTTTTATGTCAAAACATTTTATTCCTTAGCAAAATTTCATCAGAATTCTGATTCTACTGTTCAGCCAAACGTAACGTTTTAACAAGAAACGTCGAACTTTTAATTTATAAAGTGCGTATACTTGCATCATCAGCGAAAAAGTGCTTATGGCTTGAGCGGAAACACCAATCATTGCTCTGTTGCACAGGTGAATGTTAGGCGCGCTCCAGCATTAAAGGTGGAGTGGGTATTTTTTCTTAGCTTGTAACCAACCATAGCTTGCTAGCCCTGGTTTTGATTTTCGAAACCTTCAAACGTGTCTCATGGAACAGCTGTGCATGTATAGACCTGCCGTAAAAAGATCGTAGAATGCCTGCTGGAAGTTCCTTTGTGAAGCGCCGGCTTCAGTAAAATCATTTTTTGCGAATTTTGGAATTTCCTAGTACTGTAAAATTTTGGGGGGAATTGTCGAAGTGTGAAAGTTCATTCGTAAGGGCGCGTTCCTGCGCGCTGGTGCGTGCTATGTTTTGACTGATGTCAGTAGACTGTACTATCACCGCTTAGTTCGCACTGAGACTTCAGACGACACGTGCACCGCCTCGCGGTCATCACATTCGCTTATAATTAGTGTTGTGCATAATTACGAGATACCGCACCCATGAGAGCTAGCTGCTATCTTTACTTCGTACGATATTCCAATACGCTGCTATTGTGTTCACTGCTTCGCCCATGCGGTGAAAGTGACTTTTTTTTCTGTTCTCAGAAATGCACGGATCTTCCCCCGTGCACTCTATCTGAAACCTCTATCAACTCAGTAACGCAGTGTTGCTTTGCCTCTAAAATCTATTTTCCCTAAAATCTATTTTCTCTAAAGCTATTTTCCCTTCACTTTGTTTTGCTCTACCTTCGCTATCAGCTCACCTTCGAGCGAGCGACGATATCATGTGATGACGTTGTCATGTGATGACGTTGTCATGTGATGACGTCGTCATAGAACGTCATTGTGCAATTATGTAATATAACGCCATCACGGGTTGATGCTTTTTTTTCATCACTTGTGTTGACGCCCGAGAATAATTTTCGATTTATATCAGCCATATAAGGCTTTCCCTTTAATCCTGTTGTCAAACGAATTCCCTTTGCCGAGAAAGAAGAGCGCAACCGACAGAAAAAAAAAAGCTGTGTTCCGAACGAATTAAGAGTCACACGCTGCTGTCCATAGCAATAGTGCGGAAAATGGAAACAATATAACGTATACCATACACTGGTAACAACAGCAAAAAGATACGGGCACCCTTCGTTGATTGTATAGTGTGTTTATATTAAAAAGTGAATGCTTCAGAGTACTGGTTTGTGTGCTCTATAGTAGGAAATAGAGGGACGCTACAGAGGCTCTTAATGTGTTTAAAAATGCGTTGTTTTCAAGAAGTACATTTTGACGGGATACATAACAAAGAAGTGGCCATGTATTGTCTGTACAATGTGTTTAAAGAGTTCTCGTTTGTTCAGAACAAACGTTCGACGGGTTGCAGTACGATGATGTGCGATAAGATGTGTGCTTTAAAAAAAAAAGGAGGGGGGGGTGAACATTATAAGGTACTCGGTACTCTACTGTGGTAGTGCAGAAAGCCGTCCCGATGAGCGAAAGTGGGGCTGTGTTTTGAACAAATTTTAATGTTTTGGAGTACGCTGTACTTACTACGAGAGCATTTTGAGCTGTCGGGGTAGGCTCACAAACGAATAAACTATATTATCATCCGAATTGGGTTCAGAAAAGGTGTATAAAGATTTAGAGTATCAGTACTCTACTATGGGAGGAAATAAAGCCGTCTAAGCTAAATACGAAGAAACCTTGTGTGTGTTTAGAAAAAGCGTGTACCGATTCGGAGTACTTGGTATTTCACCCTGAGAGCACAGAAAGCCGTCCTGGTATGTGATGCAGTAACTGCCAGGCAATAGTGGTGTCTCCTCTAGAACAACGCGAGGCAGTGTGTTTAGTAAAGTGTTTAACGGTTTAGAGCACTTGGTACTCTGGGAGAGCTGAAAGCCGTAGCATGCAGATACAGTTGTGAAGTTCGCAGACTTCCAAATACTCTGTTTATAAAAAAAGGTGTGGAACGATTACCAGTACTTCGTACTCAACTATATGGGAGAATAGTGAGCCGTCCCGGAATGCACTGTGGATGTAAGGAACTGCGAGAGCGCGAGAGGCAAAAGGGTGTGTTAAGAAAAAGCGTTAACGTTTCACAGTACTTGATACTCAACCATGGGAGAGCAGAGTCATCCCAGTCCAACTGGTATGACCCTGGATCTTGAATGCTTGCTTAGAACAGATGTTTAGAAAAAAGGGGTTAACGATTCAGAGTAAGTTGGTACTCTACTATGGGAGAGCCTAACGCCGCGCCGTGGGCCTCACACTTGAGGCCATGAATACATGATACATGGAAGAATTACAAGGCGTGATTCTGCAGTGTGTCTAGAATAAGTATTTACCAATTTAGAGTATTCGGTACTCTGTACTATGGGAGACCAATAAGCCGTCCCTTGGACCTTGCATGAAGTTTTCTTTAGATAGAAATCGAAGGACAGGTGTTTAGAAAAAAATGGCAGCATATCCACGGAGTGAATGATGGAGAGTGGGGCGAAGCATTCGTCCGTCCATTCGTTCTTGCTTCCAGTACGTCCATGCGTTCGTCTGTGTGACCGTCCATGCGTCCATCCGCCCGTCCGTGCGTGCGTCTGTTCGTGCGTCCGTCCCTGCGTTCGTCCATGTATCCGCCCCTGCGTCTGTTCATGCGTCCATCCATGCATCTGTCTGTGTGTCCGTTCGTCCATCTATTCAGCACTCCAAGTACCACCATCTCGCATCTTTTCATCATATATTCCCCATATAGAAGCACCGCCATCCAGCGGACATTCCAAGGACTAAACGAGAGGTGGCACACGCACACTTTGTTACGGCTTGCGCTTCGGGTCTACTTCCCACCTTTAACCACCTCGAGTTCATGGTATATACTAGCTTATTGTATTCATGGCACTGCGGCCCAACGCTCGCTAAACCTTTCTGATACTAAGGAGGTTACACTCAGCCAGTATAACGTAGCAACCCTTTTTTGTCAGATAGTGTTCAATGTATATGCCAATGGCTGCTGATGTGGAATGAGAGACAGGACCGTTCTGCTTTTAGTTAACGCGCACGCCGCGAACTTTTTATTGTTCAACAAAGCAGAGGAGAAATCTCCCACCGGCACCACCTTGCAGGTCAAAATGTAACACTGGTTACACACTACGACTACGACTACGACTACGACAACGAGGGACGAACGGGTGCCGCTTTAAGGAGCTTCGCCCCTTTTTTTGTTTGTTTATTTTATACGCCCCTAAAAAATGTTTCAGGATTTCGAGTACTTTGTACTCAACTATGGAGAGCACTGAGCCGTCCCGCTAAGAATATTGGAGTATTCTCGAGGCAGCATGACGCCCCCGTAAAACTCGGAATAAAGTGACATAATATCATGAAAGACGGGCACGTGGTATGACCTCTATTCTTTTAGTAGCATCGGTATATCCCTAGATTAGTTCTTCAACTTTTCCAAAAACTGCTCGTGTAAACTTGCACATTTTCGTGTCTTGAAGGACATGCTTAGATTAAATCTCATAAGAAAACGACGAAACTTATTTCAATGTCTAAAATATTACAAAGAACTGCTATCTTGTTACAATGAAGTCCAATCCTAATATTCAACTAACGGAAGAAAGAATGTTACTGAAAGTCATTCCAGGATGTGAATTGTGGGAATACGTAGCGGGAACTCGCCCCTGCTCGAGTGTACTAGAAGGTAGAGTATACTTCTAGTACTCTCTACCCCTGTTAAAGTAATAGCACCATGGCTGCGGCTTGCCACGGCTGGGCTCGGTAACGCAAGCGAAAGCTTATTAACGCGACAGCGTTAAAGAGCTCGTTTCGCAGATATTCCGGCGTTGGCCTCGGTGCCGATGCCTGTGTCGGTGTCGTTGGTTGTGAGCAGGAAATTATGATCTGTGCATGACCGAAAAATCCAGCATCTTGCGTGACTAAAAAAAAAAACAATCGAGAGAGATGCAAATAAAATAAATTATAAAAAATGCCGCCCCCATCTTCCCAAGGGGTGATTTCGAGTAAATGCGTCGCAATGTGGTCAGGGTATCGCATGAATGTTGCATAATTGGGTATGGTTTGCGAATGCTTAATTGTTATTCCGTCTTTATTATTCTTATTTATTGAATGAAGGAGAAGCGTTGCCTTCAACGAGTGGTGGGACGCATATGTGCGATGGAGTGCCTACGTCAAGGTTGCATTGTTGTTGTATGTGTGTGATGATTGAATTATTGTATGCTGTGTGATGTTTGGCTTGATTGCCTTACTGCCTGTACCATTCCTGCTTGGGCTCCATGCCTGCAGTATCTTGTAAATAAATAAATAAATAAATAAATAAATAAATAAATAAATATACGGGGCGGCCAGTGAACGATTGGGCAGCTTGAGCAGTCAGTTTTTACTAGCACACGCTGTCTGCGTAGGCCCGGCGAGGCGAGAGAGGGGGGGGGGGAGAGCGACAGTTGGCACGAGACGCAAGCATGCGGCATGATACGCGAAGCGCGAGCATGCGCAGTGGGGGTGTGGACATCGCCGCCGACGCACTACATCATGCGACTAAGAAATGCTGCGCATTTAAAA